GATCAGGCAATATAATTGGATTAATGTCAACAAATTAAAAGGTGAAGGAAAAAAGAAGCAACAAAACACTTAACAATATATAGCTAGATGGAATGTTCGTATAAATTGTGATCAGGGGTGTAGCGGAGAAGAAATTAGGAGGTATTAGTTACCGGGGCCAGAGGAGGGGGAGGGGCCAGAGGGGGTGGAGTTGTGAGGTGTTACACCTCTAGTAAGATAGTTTGTCACTAGTAGTAGCATCTTCTACCACTACAGAACAGGGGCAGATGCATGTGTCTCCGGGCTAACGTGAATATACCCCAAACTCTTAGCTAAATGATTCATGGCACACTCATTATTTGACTGCTGCATAGTCTTTCAACACCCCACGCCTCACCCTCCAGCAAACAGGATCCGCCACTGTAGAGCTATATTTAATAAAAGTCGAAAAAACTATAGAAACGATTCTACGTTATAGTCCAACTGCGCCAAATCTCCCAAGCAATGGCTTACCTTAAACCTAGTATTCTTTTTGTGTACCTAGGCCTGGCCCCTGGCCTAACTACTGTAGGCACCTTGCCTAAATTAGCTTGGCCCCTGACTTAACTAGGCTAGGCCGCTGGCCTAACTAGGCCCTTGACCCGTGGGCCTTGTCTAGGCCCCTGACCTAGGCCCATCCATAGCACCAATTCAGAATCTGAATGCCAATACGCCAACATTCAAATCTCTAATTAATTTTATTATTATTTTTATACAACAGAAATCTATCGCTTACCGATTATACAACAGGTCTTATCTTACTCGAATTACAAAAGACTGCGAGATTGAGCCACCAACGTCTGCTTATATCATTTATTCATTTAATCGAATCAAAATAGCATATACATGACCAAAATATAAACAATCTATTAGTTAATTAATTAATTACATATATAGAGAATTAAAATAAAATAATTATAGGTGGAAAATTACGGTAGTTTATTACCTATTGCAATATTGTGTGGGTCAATAACTACCCTTCTAACCTTGATAAAATTTATCTTCTTCAAAGGAAGCTATCCGCCTTATTTCTGGTGCGCCACGTTTAGCCCATACACATTGTTTATTCTCTGATCTCAATCTTTTAACTATTCACGACATCAACAAACTCCAGCAATGTATTTTTGTTTATGATTATATACATTCTAACCTTCCCTCAAACGGTTCCTGTAATTTTAAACCTAACTCTGAAATACATTCTTACAATGCTAGGGCCTCACATGAACTTCATTTACCTCAACCAAAACTCACTCAAATGCAACACAATATCTGTTACAGCGGTACTAAATTATTTAACAATCTTCCTAACAATATAACACTGTCCTCCACAAGTAAACTTTTCTCATACAAATTTAAAAAATACTTTCTTTCAAATTATAATTAATATAATACTTAGTCGTGTTTTTTATTGATTTATTTTTTACATCAATTAATTGTGCTTCCTCTATGTTTATATGTCTTTTTAGTTCTTTATTATTATATATTTACTTATTACTTACTATAATATATTATCTGGCTAGCCCATCACAAGTTTTAATTGGAATGTGTTTCCAATTAATTTTACTTACAGGGCACATGCCTCTTTAAATTTAAATTATATTTACTAAAATAGTGTATATACACATAATACCTTAGATATTTGTTAAAAATTATATATTTTTCATTGTTATATTGTGAAAGAAATAAATGTTGATTTGATTTGATTTCACATAGTGAAATTATAAAAATTCATTTCTAAATAATTATATTAATATTTCATCTTCTTTCTAAATAAGATTACATTATTACATGTTTTAAGTTAATTGTCGACATCATTCCATAATTTAGGTTCATTGATCGTAATAGGAAATTGGTTTCTTCTCAGTCTAACAAAAGGAACATTGAGTGAATACGAGTTCTTTAAATAATAATCATGAGTATTTACATAATTCTTAAATAATGAAGTATGGAAGTGAGAATTTGACATTAAGATGTAATCTCTCTAAGCTCTCTGTGAGAGAAGAGATGCTATATGCCATACTTTTGCTCTTAACTGCTTTCGCTCTAAACGTTTCAATATGGTTCGCCCATAATCAATCTACACATCACATGCCGCAAGTTTGAAAAGCCTCTATGCTTCACTAAAAGGTACAAAAGTAGTGCTATCCCCTTCCTCACCAACCAGTGACTCACTTTTCTTCTGACCTTTTTTATGTAATATGTAAAACTGATTTTTAACGATTTTAATGCCCTTTTATATTGTGAAATGTGACTGAATTTTTTAATTGTATTTTTTTGATGTTCTTATTTTGTGAATTTGTGACTGAATTGTTTTTTCTCATATTTTTGATGTTCTTTTTTCTTGACCGATTTTTATATTTTGATTTTATTAGACTTTGTACTTGAACTTTTTGTATTGTATTTTTGATGTTTCCTTCTGTTTTTTTTTTTTTTTAATTTTTATTTTTATTGTGTAGCTTTGCTGTAAATTTGTACTCCAATTCAGC